CTTGAGGACTTTCAACAACGGCAACAGTTAAAATGGATAGCACGTGTAAATCAAAGGGAAAACAATGACATAATCAAGATGCTGACGTTCCACACTACTTCAAAGAAAAGGTTAGGAAGGAAATCTCCATCAATACTGGAAAGACTGATAACATTTACTGGACTTGAGAAAGCTATTTTCCTGAAAAATTGTTTTAATAGAAAGATTTTATAAATTACAACCTACAGTAGCACTGGCTGCTTGGTCATTAAATGCCAGCTAATTCCTTATCAGGAAAGATCTAATATTACCATTAACATTGCATAATCTCAAACGTATTCTTCTGTAATTTAATCCCACCACAACGATAGTAGTATTAATCGTAGTTTTGTGTGAAGAAAAAATATATCTACGGCGAATAGAAATAAAAATCAAGACGATGAATTGTATGTTCGTCCGAACATTCTTATGGTCCTCTTTCAAATACATTGATGCTAAATTATTTGCTTTCAACTTGTTCGCTTTTTTTGCCCCACAGATAAAACCCACCTTTTTAGAAACAGAGTATCCGCTTACCACGTCTTCAGATATTTTCTTCAGTACTGATAGTATCAATTACAGGCTTTGCCAAGAATAGGATGAACGTATCAGTTCTCAAGGCTTCTAACAAGTCAACTACATCCCATTTTTTTCTAGAGCAATGGATGAATAAATTGTCGGCCTATCTACTCTCGTCCGTCTTCACTATACGAAATTGCATCCAAAAGTTCGGGGAAATTGAACAGCGTACTCGAATCAAATGTAGTACGAAATTTTGCCGCCAACATTGTGAGCAGTATCAACAACTAGTCTCAATTGTCTGTAGTTTCTCTTTCATACTAATCGTAATGGTGATATTTTCACACTAATCGTAATGGTGATATTAGCCGTTTCTCTATAAAAAAAAAAACATTTGACATTCATGGCCGAACAGCTTTCAGTTGAGGTGTATAAAACCTTTATCTTAAAACAATTTTTCAGGAAAATAAGTTTTTCAAGTCCAGTAGCTGTTATCGCTCTTTCCAGTATAGTTGACGGTTCCCTTCCTAATCTTTTATTTGAAATAATGTGGAATGTTAACATCTTGATTATGTCATTATTTTCTCTTCAAGTTACATCTGCTATCCATTTTAGTTGTTGCTGTTGTTGATAGTCTTCAAATGATGTGGTTTCTGTTATTTGCTCAAATTCTTTGCGGTTGTGTGCCGCTAGTTTGCAATGAATCCATCTGTTCTTTACGGCTTACGTCCACACCAGGTTGAAACACCCGTTCTCGTACGATCACCGAAATTAAGCAACGTTGAACCTTGGGAATACCAAGTGCTGTAAACTTGGATGTGTGAGTGGTATAATGGATAACAGCTGCAAATCGGAGAGCCGGGTTCGAATTCCAGTTGTGTGCGTTATATTCACTTACGCGCAAATAACCTTGGGAAAGGTATATTTGCAGGCAGTTTGCTCCCAGTATAACTTCTGGATTATTCTAATATCCTTCCCAAATATATGAAACAGTTCCAACAGATCTTTTTGATGTAGTTTATCAAATGCTTTTGCATAATCTACGAAGCATGCATACATCCTTTTGCATTTGTAGCGATCTTTCTTATATCATTCTGAGAATAGCTTTAAAAACATCAGGAACTTTCAACAGGTTACCTGAATATAAGGATTCGATAAAAAAACGAAAATGCTTTTGATACAATATTTTATAGAAAAGCAAACATTTCATGCTCGCGTTTATCATATTAATTATAAATCTGCACATGGATTGTTTAGTTTTTATTGGAGTTTGTCGAATTGATATGTCCCAACAAAAACTAAACACTTTGTTATTTCCGAATTAAGCATGTACACTTAAACCTAAATGGAACTATTCGGGAATTTTTTATTAGAAACTGAGCGCAGGGCTTGAACTGCAAATTACCCTTTTGAGGTTCCGAGTTGAAATTAGTACTGTCACCCGTATTTGGGTATATATTCGTTTATTTTTTTTATATTATATATTTTTATATATTTTTATATTATATTTTATTTTATTTTAGATTTTTTATATATTTTTATATTATATATTTTTATATTATATTTTATTTTAGATTTTTATATTATATTTTATAAATATTTTATATATATTTTAGATTTTTATATTATATTTTATATTATTTTATATTATATATATTTATATTATATTATATTTTATTTTATATTTTTGTATTATATTTTATATATATATATTTTTTATTATATATTTTTATATTATATTTTATTGTATTGTATATTTTTAAATTATATTTTTTATATTATATATTTTTATATTTTTTATATTTTTTTATTTTCGTTACGTACATATGCTCATGAAGGAGAGGGGGACGCAGTAATTGTAAACATTTAAATTTTATATAAATATATATATATATATATATATATATATATATATATATATATATTTAAAAGAAAACAGACCACTTTAAGGTACCATTATAATAATTTATTTCACCTGAGTCCTTTTAAAAGACGCCGGATCATCAGATAGCACTTCCAAAAAAAAATATATATATATATATATGTATGTATGAGATAATAATATATATATTTATCTATCAAAACAATATTGGGGAAAGATAATTTAAATTCTCAAAATCTCATCATTCGTGCGCATGTGTAGTCCTACTAACATAACAAATTTAGTCCAATGAAGTCCTAAAAGACAAAATGCGTCACAAGAAATCCTTTCCACTTTGTCATACATTTGATATATATTTGAATATTTTTGTGATGTCAACGAATACTCGTTGCCACTTTCGTAATGCTTGTTGTAATAGACTTCGTAATCGCAGATACAACTATAGTAACGCCGTTGAACATTCCTGGTGTCAGACGCCTTCGAATATCACTCGCACTAATAGTACTTGCTTGATAATACTCGCTCGAATAGTAACCACCAAATAGTGATCGGAATAGAGAAATAGTATAGTGAATAGTATAGAGAATAGCGGTCTGTATAGTAATAGAGGATAGAGTAGAAATGGCGATCAATTAGACGCCAGGCTAATTCCTACTTATGCGTTTCCTCTATGGTCACGTGGTTTACTTAATTCAATAATGGGAACCCCTGTGTTTGCTCACTGGCGATCTATGTTCAAACTGAAGTGTCGGCAGCGACATTTTATCCCTATATAACAAATATATAGTTTAGTTTCACGTAATTTCTTTGTGTTTATGTTTTTATCACTTTTGTTATTAAATATCACACATTAATAATAAAAAAAAAGATCTGCCAAGAAAGGCGAAATGCTGTAAGAACCTGAACGTAAATTTACATGGAATCATCTAGCGATTGTTGTTTATATATTTTATTGATCATCGTAAATGATTTGCTTACTATTTCGACATAACGTTCATGTGCCCAAGTTCAGTCCAACTTATTTAAAAATGAATTCAAAAAATTAACTTTTGAAAAAGCCAGAAAATTTGGACTCATTATTCTGGAGACATGGGGGACCATCAACACAATAGTGGGTGTAGGGGTATCGTGAGACCTTTAACATTCACATTGTATGACAATGAATCAAAAAAACTGGCACATAGTCCCGCCCTTCTCGAGAATGGAGACGATGGTGACTTGACTGAATAAACAATGGCGGAGGTGTTGTGTGACTTTGGACAATAAGATGCCATATAAAATTCCGCTGTAATAAACGTCCTTATTATAACAAGAAGGACACCACACGCCTGAATAAACAAGTAGAATTCGAATAGAATTGACCCTAATTGCATGAACCAGATATTTTTATAGTCTTAAAATCAACAGAAACGTTATTATTTGAACGTTTCGCTCAAAATGTCGGTCATTTCACTGTCTATTCACTCTAATCTTAAACATCTTTTTTCCCTCCTTCTTTACACTCAACAATATTGTCTCTTATAAACAGCATACATTCGCAAATAATTTATTATTTCTGTAATGATGTGCAGCAATACCTTATATAGAATTGGAAACCGGAACATTGGAGTTGATAATCAAATATTACTATTTTAGTCGCACGTCAATCTCTGATACGATAATCAGCTCTCTCCTTACTACTGATCAAGTACAACATTACTTAGCCTTTTAGCGATAAATGTTCCACTAGTGAATCATATCATAAGACATATTTTTTTCTAGTACCAGACGAGCATTAATTTTAAATATTTTATTGATATAATATGCACAGAAAGGATTAAAATACAAATGTACGTAGTCATAGTGTTGAAATACAATTGATGCTCGTCTGCTATCAAAAAGATGTATCGTAAAATGTGTTCCACTAGTAGAACAGTGGACACTAAATGCTAACTCCGGGAAATAAACAAAAGATAAGATTTTGAACCATATAATCTCAAGGCTACTGACGCAAGCAGCTTGTAAAAATGTACTCAACTAGTGGATCATATTTATATTATATTTTATTTTATAAATATTTTATTTATATTTTATATTTTTTATATTATATTTTATTTTATTTTACATTTTTTTATATTTTATATTATATATTTTTATATTATATTTTATTTTATATTTTTGTATTATGTATTATATTTTATATATATTTTTTATTATATATATTATATTTTATTTTATTTTATTGTATATTATATATAACTTATATATTTTATTTTATTGTATTTTATATATAACTTAAACTTTGTAATTCGAAAGATTTAAACAATTCTCCAGAAAAAATTGATTAATTAGTTTTTTACGGCTTATCAATCCTCTTCAGGTTATTTAAAGCCAGAAAATATTTTTAGATTTTAAGATAATAACGGTTTAGTAACACAATTCTTACTAATTAATTCATAGCTGGGAGAGTAGAGGTGGATTCATAACTTTCCCAAGGGTATTTGCACCTAAGTGAATATAACGAACCCAGCTAGAACTGGAACTCTGCTCTACAGTTAACAATTGCCAGCCATTATCCATTACACCGCCCTTACATCCAAGCTAACAGCACCTGGTATTCCCATGCGGTCACCAATCTAGATACTGACCAGGCTGGACGTTGTTTAACTTCGGTGATCGTAGAGGAACTAGTGTTTCAACGTGACGTGGCCGTAAGCCTCGAGGAAAAACAAATTCTAAAAAAAAAAGCTGGTAAATATTTTCTGCAAGATTTACGTTTGATAATTTACAGGTGCGAATCAAAATCAAGATTTACGTTTGATAATTTGCAGGTGCGAATCAAAATCAAGATTTACGTTTGATAATTTACAGGTGCGAATCAAAATCAAGATTTACGTTTGATAATTTGCAGGTGCGAATCAAAATCAAGATTTACGTTTGATAATTTGCAGGTGCGAATCAAAATCAAGATTTACGTTTGATAATTTGCAGGTGCGAATCAAAATCAAGATTTACGTTTGATAATTTGCAGGTGCGAATCAAAATCAACTATGACGCTATTTCCCAATATAGCGAGATCCAAGTTCTGACTTTTTATGATGACAATATTGATTACTATTTTAAAAGTTATGTATTGTTTTAATTCATGGTAAGCATATATCCAGACCAAGTTTATCTTAACAGTGACTGTAAAATAATTCAAAGTTCATTTTAATACTAAAGTATTAATACTAACTTGATTTTAAGTAATCTTTCTGACAATCGTTCAACACAAGAAAGATGCAAAGAACTGCATACATTTACTTGCGTGCGTTTGAAGTTATTTTAAAGATGTTCAGAACGGACTTAACGAATAGTATAACTCATCTTGTGTATTCACATCAAGTAATAATAAAATGTAATAGCTGTGGGTTACACCCACATAGCTCCACCAGTTTTGCCAAGAAGTCGTAAGAAGGGGCTGTAAAGCAGCTATACAAACGGGACACTTCCTGTCTTTCATTCTCTTCTTTTTCTTTTCCGTCCAGCATGCTGTAGCGACAACATCCACGGGACCTTGTTCCCGAGAATGGGGATATCTTTCATCTCGGTGACTTTCCTGGGAATTTCTCTGAGAAAGTTTCTAAATAATATTAAGATGATGGGGGGGGGGTCATCCGCTCAGGTAGAACCTCACCTCATTACCCGGTGCATGAGGTGTCCACAAAAGGGGAAGTGCCGAGGGGACTTGAGCAATTTTTCCACGGAATTGCCGTTAAACACATTTTAAACCTCGGAAGCGACGTGGGCGCGATAAAAAATTCACTTTCCTCCCGGTGACTGAATTTTATTCACACACACACACACACGTGTATCATCCACATAATCCCTAACTGGTAATGTCTTTTTCCTTTTGCCTGCATACTACTGATTGAAAAGTAACTCCCTATTTTTTGTATGATGGACTCACCCATCTTGTAAAAATTATAGTTAGATGGGAGAGTCATACATAAAATAAGGAGTTATTTTCAACAATATATACGCACCCAAAAAACTTAAATTCGGTTGTCCACTCTTGGAAGATAAGATGACTATTACTACTAATATTACATGACTCTTCCACTTCCCTGAATTTAGCGCTGTCAGTCATTGTTGTGTTTATTCACAGAGTAAGTACGTAAAAATTCGCCTTTCTTTCAACCGTGCGCCGATGGCTTAGGGAGAAAATCTCCGACTGATTCAGCAACAGTCGGAGATTACAGGTTTCGATCCCAGCTTGGAGCAATCGGATGTCTAGCCACACTGATGAGCAGTGAAACAGTCTGTCTGCGGATGACAATAAAATATAAAATATAACCTTGTAGAAATTGTCTTCCATCTCTTACGCCTGTCATTTACCTGTGTAAAGTACATTATTTACATTATTCGGACTATTGTCCTCATCTTTGTCGCCATATTTAATACAACGTTTCGGCCGTTGAAATGCTCCGGCCTTCATCGGGTGGTTGGAATGTCGAACTGAACCCTTTATTTCGCTCACTGGAGTAGACAGTTCTAGTTCCACGTGCCATGTTTTAATGTATGTCAGTTATCAGTTATCTCCTGTTAAATTCCCTCTGAAAGTTCTCCACTACCTTAACCGGGTATTGAACTCACATTCTTTGGGTCCTATCACTGGATCTAACGCCTTTATCCACTGTGCCATGTATCTTTGAGGAAGGGTTCAGTTCGACATTCCAACCACCTGAAGAAGGCCGGAGTGTACGACGGCCGAAACGTTGTAATAAATATGGCGACAAAGATGAGGACAATAGTCCGAATAATGGAAATAATGTACATAATACCTCATCTCAGAAATATAGACAGATACTGTGTAAAGTATTACTGTAACTGTTTTTAGCCAAACAAGGGGCTGTGTCGCAACAGCATCCTCGATGTAATTTCAACATTCACCTGCAGCAACATAGGCTTAATTTAAAATGAATTCCTTAAATGAAATATTGTCAGTTGTCATTAATTTTCTACTAGAGCTTCTTTTATCTTATTTATCTTGCTTTTTATTACAATTCTCATGTATAATTAGTAAAAGCAGAGAAAAAGCTATATTTAAAAGACACCTGGTTAGTCTTCTTAGAAGAAACATTGCCAATTATTATTCATTTTTAACACGTCTTTCTTTCATCTTATTTTTACTTGCTTTTATCTAAATCCCTGATGCTTATTAGCGATCGGAGACGGATCCGGAAACTGCGATAAAAAATGTGAAATGAAGATGAAAGAAATACTCGTTAAAAATGAATAATTATCATGGAAAATAGAAAATTAAAAAAAATGATGTATTATTGTATTTCTCGTACTGTCGTTTGATACTTTATTTACGTCAGTACTTAATATCTTGTTGTGTCCATAAAGAAATACGTAGAAAAAATACATAAAAATTAATTATTGTGTCAAAATAATTATAATAAAATAATTATAACAATTATAATTATCATTAATTCGCTTTTTCTAAACTAATGTGAATCGACCCCACTTTTCTCCTCTGCACACACAAAGACATGACTACTGGACAGCAATCAACACAGACAGGCCGTCAGCACGTGCGTCAACGAAAATTTCAGCTCCTTTTCCTTTTTCAGGCCATAATAGTAACATTCAAGGTAAGAAAACTCCAGATACTTCCTGTATTTTCCAACTAAATTATCTGGACACTCATTACACACATCTATAAAAAGCATACAAGAAAAACTGTACTTATTCTTTATATATTCATTTTCTGATCCATATTTGATCTACATTTGACCCCAAACGGACAATTTTACTCAGTGTTCCTGCCTCCCGTGTTTCCAACACCACATAACAACCAGATAATAAATAATACTCATTTTGTTGTTTTCACGTCTTGCTGTTTTTCATTTTTACGAGTATTTTTGTATATATAAATGTTAGAGGTTTTATAATTATTTACTCAAAGTTATAATTCCCTTACAACCTCTATCCATAATCTAAGGTTACTTCCCTTGTTCTCATTCTGACAATGTCGTTTACCCGTCATTAGGTTGAGTGCATATTTTTTATACTAATTTCACCCTATACAATGCCTAATGGTCACTCGAGGTAGAGGGTTACCAAAGGCGGTTTTTGCGTGAACGGGAAGAGTAAGGGACGCAGTTTATGAGGATATGTGTGAAAGGCAGCGGTTAACCCTTGACTTGAAGAGGTTTAATTTGTAGTGGTCGGGGAAGCATTTTCTTTGGAGTCGGTTCCACAAAGCAACAGTTATTGGAAGAAGCTATCCGAGTAGAGCTTACTCCTTACTAAAGGAATACGAAGGGGATGAAAGTGGATCGCCTCTATGTACACAGCATGGTGGGTCTTAGCTGTGGGAGTTAGAGTCGGGGGAACTAAGGAATGTAGCTCGTCTCTCCATTTTCCATATAAGTGGCGAACGAGTAGCGAGAGGCTTGCAACGTTTCGTCTGTGGTAAGGTGGGAAACGATTCATCACCCACAAGGCTGTGTAGATACTTTTGGGCCATATCAAAACTAGAAAGGGAAGACTGGTCAGTTCTGGTTCAGATATGGTAGCAGTAATCCGTTTTCGGCCTGATCTAGCTCTTGTTAAGGTAGAGCGACGCAAGAGGGGTCAACTGGCGCGGTACAAGAAACTGATCATTTTTTTAAGCATCTTTAACTTTACATTTTTAGATTTACAACTAATTAGCGCTGTTATATTTTCGGCTTTTCCATATTGGCAACCAGTTTGCTTTAGCATTCAGCAATGGCACTTAATTGTGTTGTTTAAATGAGGTGTTGTAGATTAATCACAATTTTGGTTTATTTTTATAGATTTTGTGTATAATTAAATCGAAAATAGGAATAAAAACTCAATAAAATCCCATTAAAAATGTTTTTGCTCGTTTAATGTGGCGTGCATGTTTGTATAACATTTTCCCGCCGTTTAAGAGTTAAAAGAGTGTTGGGTGGCTATGTTGTGATTCCTCCCCTATATGGCCGTGAATGCTGGACAATTTTCAATATAAATGAAAAACAAAATTGAAGTAACTGAGATATGGTTTTACTGTTGAATGTTGAGAATCTAAACGGACTGATCATATGACAAATAAGAGAGTTTTGAAAACAGGAACTCCAAGGAAATGCAAAGGAAGGAAGAACTTGAAGAATTTTACTTTCACAGAGAGCATCGAGGGCAAAATAAAATAAAAAGTAGAGGAAAGCAGCAGGTAACTTGGATGGAGACACGCGTATCACAAAGAGCGTTCGTAAAGGAGGAAGTATTATTGAAAACAACAGAAGAACGGAAGCTGTCGAGAGCCATAATCATCCGCGTTCTGAAGAGAGAGAGAGAGAGAGAGAGGGGGCAATAAAGCGAGATTTTCTGTTTTCTGTACAATAAATATATCTGACGATTCAATCCAAACGTTTAGCTGCCATGTGAAAACAAACGACTAACCATCTTTCTTTACTTTAGCTTAGTCTGACACAAGGCCATAAGTTTAAGTGATCTCATTAAAATAGTAATCGCCCCTAAAGTAGCTTTCTAATCGTTTACGGTGATAAGTCCTTTTCATGTCTATTAAACTAAGTTTACGACATAAGGTCACATGTGTAGAACACCCAGTGAGTTTCAAACTCACTACAATAGTAATGTCCTATGGGACTGGCTTGTGAGACATTGTCTCACAGCGAGGCTCTTACACCAAAGAGGTATCGCT